CTGCTGACAGCTGAGAGCAGTTGAGGGTCCACGTGTGATGGGGGGGTGGGGTGTGGGGGAGGATGCAAACAATAGAAGGGACAGCAAGAGCCAATACGGGCTGTGAAGGGAAACAATAGCAGGTGCCTCTGTGGCCAATCAGAGAAAAGGTCTCCAGGCAGCCTACATGGTGACTAGTGATTCTTCTCTGAGAATGCGGCCACCCACAGTTAGGGCTGCCCCAAAAGTGGGGCCGTGAAGCCAAGATTATAGGGTAATAGAGGGGGTGACTGAAAGACAGTACCAACTGGGACCCTAGACAGAGAAAGGTGGAGTGGCGAGGGCTTCAGATCTCCACAAGTAGGAAAAGATCCAAGAACCTCACTTGTCACTTTACTGTATTCCCAGAACCTGATATATGATAAGTGATCAATAAACTTGGTGGTTTTGTTAACTGGGATAGACAGAAAAGCCCAAGGGGCCTCAGCAGTGGAGACAGGGCTGGAAATTACAACTTCTAACGGGCGGGGGTGGGGATGGGGAGGTGGGGGTTTGAAAGGGGGTGGTCGCGGGAGCAAAACACTGAGTCCTAATATGAGAAAAAAAGTGTCCGACTGGGCCAGGGAGAGCTGCAGTTACACAGACCCCTCTATCCAAGACTGTAATGAGTAGTTCCTCTCAGGGCTCCCGGGAAATGTGGGTGTCAAGTGAAGAGGCTCACAAGCATAAGCTGGCATAGTCATATGTGGGTGTACTTCCCTCACTGTCACGTGGCCTAGGCTTTCCTAGACAATGGTGTTCTCCATAGGGGCGGGGGAGGAGGAGGGTTCTGTGGAAAAGCTGGGACAGAGGGATGTTATAAAATATATTACCCAGAAAAACCAAAGCCAGAAAACAAAGAATTCAGGAGCCTGGATTCTCAAAAATGTTACCCCAACTTATATACTGTGGCCTAGTCCCTTGTCTCATTTTCAGACAACTCTTCTGGAAACGTCGTGTTTTTTTCCTTCCCGGCTCTCCCTAGGGATTTAGGTGTGCTCTCCCCTAACAGAGGCAGTTCTTGTTCCCCCACCTCCACATCTATCTTTTGCATAGACATAAGGGTCTAGCACTCTAGAAGCCCCCACCTGCTCTCAAGGCCCTGCTTATCCTGCCTCACAGTCCCCACAATAACCAACCCCTGCTGCCGTCAATGGAGGAGAGGGGGGTGGGAGACAGTGGTGACGTCAAAGCGGAGGAAGGGGCCGGGCGAGGCAGCCGGGGAATGTGGGGCAGGGAGACTGGAGAGGCAGCGGTTTGGGAGGCGGCCAGCCCAAGAGGGCGGCGGCCAGCGCACTTGGGAACATCTTGTTCTCTTGGCTGGTGGCCCAGGACATGCTCCCAGACTGGGCGCCTCCCCCAACCCAACGACAGCCATCCTGTCCCAAAGCCAGGGATTCCTGGAGAGAGGATTAGGAGGAAGGGGGTCCCCCGCCCCCGCCCCCACGCTTGCCTCTCTCCTCGACACTCGCACCGCCCTCCCCTCAGCGTGTTCCTACAGCTCCTGGCACTGCTTTCCCCCTCTCCCAAACTGTACACATCTGCTGGCCCAGTCCCAAAGAGTCGGGGCGGGGAAGTTGGAGGCCCAGGTTCTGAGAGAGAGCACGCACCTTTGCTCCTTCCCAGGGGTCCCCTTCCCAACCTGAACCTCTTGTTACTGTGGCAGCTGAGAGGGAGGAGGGGCACGGAGGAGAATAGGTTTAGGATGAGGAAATTAAACTGGGAAAGCAAATGACCCCGCTTGGGAATTAGAACCTGGGAGAGGTATAAAAGGGTGCAAGCTGGTACCTGAAGACCAGAAGAACCAAGAATAAGGAAATGGCGTGGGAGTCACCAAAATATGCAGAAAAACCTGAGAATACTTTCCATCTACAGCATTCACATAAATCTGTCACTACTGTTTTTTCATCTTATAGCCTTTTTTTTAAAGTTAAAACAATTTTAAAACATGACCCAGGCATTTTATTAAGCACTTTACATATATTATCTTGTTCAATCCCCAGAACAATTCTGTGAGATGGGTATTATTATCTCCATTCCACAAAGACCGACTAAGGTTCAGAGTTACTAAACGTGCCTAAATTGCCTCATATGTTCTCTGGCTTTTAACAAGTGGATTCCAGAGTTTAAATCTGAGCTCTGATAAAGGCTTGTTATTCTGGCTTCTTACCCTTTAGGAACCTATGAGGTGTTACCCACCACTGGGGAACCTGGGCCTCTTAAATATACAGCTGATTCTAAGTTTGGTGCCTGGAACACAGACTCCATCCACCCTCCACCCTCCTCTGGACAGGATCTCAGGCATTTAGTTTTCACTCCTTACACAATCGGAATCATCAAAGCCCCAGTTTTCACATGTTCACAAAGTTCTTGAGATCACCTTAGCAGCCATCAGTCCCAGGGATTTCCTAGGTAGGAACCCCACTTCCTCACTCTCCCATCTTACCAATGTCTGGTTGGTTGTTACCAGAGCACCCTGTTGGTGCCTCCTCACTCCCAGGGGCTCAGGAAGACACGTACACAGCCAATCTGTATAACTGCATCCTCCCTCTCAGGACCCAGCAGTTGCTACCCTACTTTTAAACCCAAGGATGGCACCAAGGCCCAACCCCTCACCTTCACAAATAAGAAAGACATCCAGGGCCTTGATATTACTGGCTCAGGATCATACAAATCATCTCACCACCCTTTCTAAAAAATCACCACGTCAACACCCACTGATACCCTCCTACCCACCCTACCAAGATTCTTCCTCCAGTCTCAGAATCCCGCCTCTTTCAAGTGTTTAAGGCACCTATCCAAAAGCAGCCACGCACTGCTATATCCCCCACCCCCACCCCCGCTCTCAGGAGTCCGGTACCCACACCTCCCTAGGAGCAGGTGGTCACAGCTCACTTAGGTCGCTGAGGGCGTCCGGGCCCCTCTCCCCAGGCAGTCAGGGGTCCCGGTGAGGGACCTGATTTCAGTGATACTTGCCTGGCCCCCTCCCCCGTCTCTCTAGAGCTGAGAGCTCTATTGACAACCATCAGAGCTTCCATCACAGCGATCACACATTCGCATGATTCCCCGCCCCCCCTCCACACACACACTCCATTAACACCCCTCCTGACAGAACACACCACCCTAGAAAAGTTCATACCGACCGCCGCTCATGTCCCCCAACTCTCAAGCACTCACAGCTCGCGGCGCACGCAGAGTCCGAATTCTTCCCATCCCTAACCTCGACAACTAGGGTTGGCTCTTCCAGGTCCACCCACCCGCAGGGCTGCCACGCCCCTCAAGCTTATTGGCCTAAGTAGGCCGACCCTTGCTCCGCGCCGCGTGGGTCGCCCCGCCCCCACTCAACCGCTATTGGCCCTACCGGTGTCATCATCTTCTCATTGGCCGTCTTGCCAACAGGCCTGCGAGCTACACGTGCGGGAGGGGCCGCCCCAGAACGTTGATTGGAAGCTTTACGATAAGCCAAGCCCCCATCCACTTTTGAAGTTCTTATTGGCTCTGGCAACATCTCACCCTGCCTAGATCAGTGACGCAAATGCCAGTCCAGCCCTCTAAACTTCCCCATAGGCTGAGAGGTTTCGGAGCTGTAGAGGACACGTGCCGGCCGGCTCACGCGGCAACTTGTTTACCTAGAAGCTGGGGATTTTTCCTTGACGACACTCTTACCGGACACTGCGGAGTCTGCGCAGGAGCAGCGAGCGACACCTGTACGCAGGCGCAGATGTGAGTGACAGTGGTTCTTTGTGTCAGGACCAGGGCGATCAGTCGTCTTGACAAGAGCGGCCCTCCCCCCGCGATGGGATTCTGGCCCTGGGTTCCTGAGGTTGTGAACAGCTGGAAGGTACGAGCTTTATGGTGAAGCGGTCTTCATATCTCCGTACCACGTGACGATGATGACGACGATGATAGCTGCCTCCTGATTTTCTGTGGACCAGGCCAGGCGCTTCTTACAAACCAGGAGGAGGCTGGTTCCTTTACTACCACACCGCCTCACAAATGAGACTGATATCCAGAGGTTACGTCAAACGATTAACATGCAAATCAGTTATAGCGCCAAAATTTGAACCTCGGACCCTGACACTATGAAGAAGGGTCCTAGGATGTACAGGAACCCAAACCTGGAAAGGCTTCAGTAGCTAAAGCACAAAAACAATCCTGAGCACCGTTTGCAATAAACCCTCAGTAAATGGTGGACATTATAATTACTGTGAACCTTTTGAAATCTATTGCTTAGAAGCATCCCTGGTAGTTCTTAGGAGCTGACAAATTAAGGAAAAAGAAACATTATCTAGATCCTGTGCTGCTGAATCCTCATGCTGCAGCCCAGAGAAGTCAGCCCTCCATGGCTCATCTAACACTCCACTCATTGTTGAGACACCTGGGGATAGGAATTCTCGGGTGCTACATCAGGGGCGTCATGGACCTTGGAGGCTACGGGAAGGCAGTGTGGGGTCACTACTAAAACAACAGAGTGCAGGGGTAGGAGCCATCTGTGGCCAGCTCCACAACACACTCAGCTGGTCTCCCTGACCCTACTGGTTCAGTATTTATTAGCCCCTTCTGTATGCCGATACTGTGCTGGGTACCAAAGGGAAGAGATATTTCATGAAGTTGGTCATCTACTTTGGGCCTAGGAGTAAATCACAAGAGCAATGGCAGAGCATCTGGGAGTTAAATCAAGGGGTAGAAAGGGATCCAACAAATAGCAGCACCATCCCCCCTGAGGAGAAAAAGGGGGGAAGTCAGGATGCTCTGACCTCCCTGGTTCACCAGACTGAGACACAGGGATCATGAACACTTCCTCTTATCAATTCCTGGTGCCCACTCGTGGCCATCTGGGGAATCACACTTTGCCCGGGACAAGGTCATGCCCTCTCACAATGTTCAGTCCCTTCCCAAAGCATCTTCTCAACCTTCCTGGTATACCCGCAGATCTGATACTCTTCCCACTGGTTAAAAAAATATCTTAGAACAGACACCACCTGGTTACTCATTACACATTTATTGTACATTTTCACAATCTGGATGCGTCACAGAATTGGGGGCATGGGGTGAGGGAAGGGGGAGCAGGGGACACTGGGATAATATGGGGTGTCTAGAACATAGCACCCCCATCCCCAGCATCTCTTCCTACCCTTTCACACCACAACTTAGATCTCCCTGCTCCCCCTTCACACTGAAACCTTGAGTGTGGGGGAAGTTGGGGGGGTCCCCTCCAGTGGCAGGTTAAGGAACTGCACCCTCAGACCCCTAAAATTGTGCCATTTAAAAAGACCTTAGACCTTTCCTCTCTCAACTTGACCTAAGGAGGAGACAGCTCTCTCTGGGCTTGACCATCCTGGAGAAGGGTGAGAATCCCTATCTTCCAGCCAGCCCCATACATACATTGGCAGTTACTAGTACCCCCCCCTGAACTCAGAGGGGGGCAGTCAGAGGGCTGGGCAGTAATGGGGGCAACACCCCCCAAATTGGGGAGGAAAGTTTTCAGTCCAACCCCCAGGAGGGGTGGGACCAGAGATTTCAGGCAAGAACTGGGGATTCTCTGCCCTGCCTCACTCCTTTCCAAGGCAGTGATGACCCCACACACTGGTAGCCACTTCTCCCGAGATCAGATTGTGGCCAACCCCCAACTCTCCTAGTGGGAGGAGAAGGAGGCAAATCAGGCAGATGAGAGGGAGGGAGACCCCATGGGAATGTCAGTTGAGTGCCCCACATGAAAACTAGGGAGCAGGAATGTGGGGAGAGACTCCAAGTGCAGAATTATTGGTCCATCATAACACACTGAACTCCAAGACACTTACACATCAGCTGGGGGAAGGGAGAGGAGGGGACAAGAGGTTTGGAAAATGGGGTAGGGGAGGCAAACTGGACTAGGGGCTAGGAGGGAGTGTTTCTGGGGGCCAGAAGAGCATGGCTTCCCAAGAGCCCAAGCTCCCCAACCACCTGCAAGTAATGTCATGCAAATGAAAATGTGATACAAAGGACCAATGGGAACTAACTCCTCAGTAAAAAAAAAAAACATGGGCTGAGAGAATCAAGTTGAGTGATAGAACAAAAATGAAGGAAACCAAAAGGGATGTCGGTATGCAAATGATTGCTAATTAACATGCTGGAAGCTCCCAGAAGACCTTGGGATTCTTAGGACCAAGTGGGGCCAGTCTCAGAGCCTCCCAAGGATACAAAAGAGATACACCACAAGAGGCCCGGACAATTCCCTTTTGTTTTGGTAGAGGGGAGGGGGATATGAGGAAGGTGAGGGTAGGAGGAAGGTCAGCTAAATCTAAGGAGAGGAAGAGGGACTGTTGCATAGCAGATGCAAAGGAAGGAACTTGGGGCTGGTCAGGAAGAGAGGGACGAAGGAAGGAAAGAGAAAGGAGGTGCTGGGAACCTCAGGAAGGGGTGTTAAGGACAACCGGAAAAATCTTCTAGTAATAAAACTACAAACAGACCAAATATATATAATATTATATATGTATAAATAACAGCTGGCTATTTACAGGGGGGCGCACACACAGACACACACACACGGATCCAGGGGAGGGGGGCTGGAAGATATGGCTGAGAGGTGGAGGAGCAGCTGGGGATTGGGGGGGAAGAGGCCCTTCTCTGGGCAGGGCAGGCTCCTCAGGGGTTTAAGAGCTGAAGTAAACTGTAGAGAGGGAAAGAAAGAGGAGGAGAGGGAGAGGGGAGAAAGAGAAAAAGCAGGGTGTCAGGCCTGGCCCTGCTCCGAACCTCCCCACTCCCCAAATGGCTGACATCCCTTTCCCCTCTCAGCTTTGGTTCTCCATCTGTAAAGCAACGGGGCTGGACAGGTGGGTTCCAAGGTCTGTTCAACTTCATGTATAGTCCTGGGGCCAGACCCCTAATCCTCTGGCCCTCATAGACCACAAGCTCTCAACCAATGGGGTGGTTGGCTCCCCAGCCATGTCTCAAGCCTGAGGGGCTTTCCTGCTCTCTCACTGCCCAGTTCCAGGGTTCCTACACTGGGCTCTCAGGCCCAGAGTCCTGAAGGGAGCACTGATGAACCACCAGAATTCCAGTCTCCAAAAAATCCTAACAGAAATTGCCCAGAATCAGTCAAAGTGAGGTTAAACAACATGAAGGCTTTGGGCTCTGGATGAATCAGAACTGCCATTGGCAGTGATACATGCTTTTTGCTGAATAGTATAAACTAGGTTAATGACCTTCAAAATTCCAAATTACGAATGGAAACCTCTCCAGGGTAAGGACTCTAGCCACTTCCACCCGACTCACCGATGATGATGATGAGGATGATAGCGCATATCACTCCCAAGATGATCATCATCTGGGGGCAAGAAGAGAGGGTAAGACAGACCATGATACCTCAGTTCTCCTATCTGCCCTCCAGCCTGCCTCCACCCTTACCTTGAGGTTTTTCCACCAGTATTTGCGCTTGAGCTTGGCTGCACTTGTTTCAAATTGGGAGGCCCCTGCCTGTAGTGCATCCGCGCGGTCGTCCAGCTCCGATAGCTTCTGGTCCCGCTCCAGGACCTTGTCCACATTCACCCTCATGATGTCCACCACCTGGGGGAGGGGCCCACGAGGCAGAGGGTGTGTCAAGGCCTGCCTCAGTGAGGGCACTCTTCCATCACGAGCCCACATAGTGTTGCCAGGCTAACATGCTAAGGACACACACAAATCATGCCTGGCACACCTGGGGACATGCAAGGAGCACATATCAGGGGCATGCTGGTAGCCAGGCATCTCAGATGTCACAGCAGCACCCTCTATTTATTGAGCCCCAAGCAGCCTGTCACCAGAGTACATCTGCCCAGGCTGAAACACCCCAGGCTAACAAGGCTGACTACCACCCCAGAGCCTTTCCAAGCGCCCACTGACAGGGATGGGGCATGATGTGTCTTTGTTTCAAAACTCATAGATGTGAACTGCTATTATCTCCAACCCAAGATGGGCCCCACACCAGTTTGCCAACTCTCAGGATCTTCCCCACACTGCCTTTGACCCCGCCCCCCGCCCCCACTCACCTCATCCACCTGGGCCTGGGTCTGCTGCAGTCTCCTGTTACTGGTGAGGTTTGGAGGAGGCGCAGGGGGGCCTCCCTCCCCAGCCGGGGCGGCAGGGGGGGCAGTTGCTGCAGTAGCAGACCTGAGGGAAGGGACGAACTAAGACCCAGAGCCTGGAACCTCCGGCCCCGCAGCCAGGGCTCCGCCCATACGCCTGTCCATATCCATCCGTCCCTCTCTTGCATCTACCCGGGAGGAAGGCCATCCGATGGGAGCCTGGACTCAGTCAGGCCCCGCCGCAAATAAGCTGCGTGACCTTGAGCGAGAGGTCCCCCCTCAACCTCCGGGCCTCTGTTTCCCACCCTGTCAAATGAGGACGACCTCACAGACACAGTCCGGAGTCGACCCGAAAGAACAGGAGGCAGTGAAGACGGGCGGAGCGGGCGGACGCCGGGTCCGCTCCCTCCTGCGGCCATAGCCCGCGCGGGCAGCCCGAAACGCGAGACTCTCCAGCTGCCCGCGCGCAGTCACGGGCGCCGGCCTGGCCTCGGGATGCACGGGCGCTGGCCGAACCCCGGGTACCCCGAGGCGCGCTCCCAATGGCGGCGGCTGGCGCAGGCAAGCCCGGTGTGGGCGCAGGCGGCCGACTCACATGGCGGGGGTAGCGAGCGGAGGACTTGGCAGCGGCAGTGATAGCGGAAGCGGCAGCGGCGGCTTGCGCTGGCTCCGACTGGCGCTGGCTGCCCGGGACGGGAAGATGGCGGCCGCACGTCACCCACATCCGGGCACTGCGGGCGGGGGCGGAGCGCGGCGGGCGACTTGCGGGAGCGGGGCGGCGGGGGCGGAGCCTGACGGGGCAGCGCGCTTGGCGCCGCGGCGCCGGCGCCTCCTTCGGCCCCCGCGAGCCGCAAGCCTAATGGCTGCGGCATTTGCTATCCTCACCGCTAACCGGGTCTGAGCATCACTGCCCTCGCAGCCATCCCCACGCCTCACTTTGCCCTCAACGGCATCCCTCAGCCCCAAACCACGTGCCAGCTCATCCGTGAAACCTGTACACCAGTCCACACACCACGCAACCCAAGGTCTCGGCCTGCACGCAAGTCACAACGCCTGGTGACCCGCCTTGGGCATTTGGAATAAGCTGGGGTGGGAAATAAGAATGGGCAATGCGAAGAGCTGGGAGCCTGCTGCTGAGGTGGACTGGAGTGATGGGAATTGGTCCCCAGCCCCTCGGCGCCCCGAGTGAGATGTCTCGAGGAGATTAGGGCCCCTGGCTGCTTAGAGGGTATGAAAAAACGGAAGAGGAGCCAGGCTCTATCCCCCTAACCAAGTCACTGCAAAGTGTGTGTGGGTAAAATTGTAATATTTTCAGAATATCCCGCATGGTTTAGGACATCTGCAACATCAACAGGCGCTCAAGGGTGGAGAAAGTATGGCTTTAGTGTATTTGCATCATTCCTCAGGGGTGGAAAGAAGTTCACCTCCATATCAGTGGGTAATTACCTAGGCACGGAGGGCTTATCTGTACTGAGAGGTAAGGGGAGGATCGGTTTTGCTGCTGCTGGAGCAGGAAAAAGAGAAGGCCCCGAACTGAAGTTTGTAAGCAATAAACGGATTTTAAAGTTTATTTCTACTTTTGCGGTTTTTAGAGGTATTGTGCCCCAGGATTTCCTTTCCCCGGACTTACAGTGTGGAAACTGCTTCTTCTCACCACTGGGTTTCAAACCAAACTTGGCAGGTTAGGACCACTGAGCTGGGCAAACCTAGGACCCCAAGGGAGGAGGGCACGAGGTTGTCCCCTGGGGCTCCTTCACGTGGTGCTTGCAGACCAGCCAAAACCTAGTTCTTCCTTTGCGAGTTGGGTCAGCTTCCTGGCTGCAGGAGGGCTCAGCCTCTGATCTCAGGCACAAGGTCTGGGCAAATGGACAGAGCTTTTGTTTTTCTTTGGGGAAAAGACAGTAGGCAAGAGTAGCACCTGCAGTACCCAGGTATATTGTGCTAATTTACATGCTTATTAGGCTCATATGAGTGACCTTGGACAGGTTCTGTCCCATCTCTGGACCTAAAATATATTACATAATGTAGGCACTAAATACATATTTCTTAAATGGCTTGATCTGGAATTTGGTAGGAGGAGATTATCTACAGCCCCTTCTATTCCTAATGGGTGACTCTTTAGGTCCTCTGATCACCCCAGCAGCTGCTCCCACCAACCTAGCTCCTTCCCAGCGGGCCTGGCTCTACAGAGAGGAGAGATGGGACCAGGTGAGCTGCCTATACACTGGGGGGATCAAGGAAAGCCTCAAGAGTGATGGAGGCATCTTCACTCTTGGGGAGGCCTGACCACTGCCCTCGCAGCCACACTCACACTTCTGCCACTTGCCCCTGTTGGCATGGGATACTCACTGCATACTGGGAAGGGTGCAGGGGAAGCTGGTGGCCTTGGTCTCTGAGAACAAGTAAGAGCCAACTTCTTCCCTCTGTCACCCAGGCTTCCCAGGGCCTCTGGGTGTGAGAACCTCCCCCACGCAGTACCCCACTCCCTCCCAGCAGAAGCCTGGGGAGTGGCTCTGTCACCAGAGGTGTTTCCCAGCTGTCTTGGGGAGGTAAGTGAACTAGGAGCACATATTGGGTGCTCAGCAGAGGTAAGATGACATGCTCTCAGTTCCCTTCCTCCCAGGAGCAGCCATTTCCCTGGTCCTTGGGTCCTTGTGCAGATACAGAATGTCTGGGTGGCTCAGCCTATGTGAAAAGGATGTAAAAGAACAGTTTTCCTCAGGGTCTTACAGACTGTTGTGGGGTGCTAGTTCTTGCTTTCTGGCCCTGAGACTACTTTGTTTTCTAGCCAAAGAACAAAGATGCCATATTCCAGGCTTTTAAGGTCAAAAGTGCAGTGTCTGGGTTTAAGACAGGGAAGGTTGTAGGAGGTGCAAACAGGCAGAGGCCACCTCCAACACCCCACACTAGCAGGGGCATAGCTAGTGGAGGCACAGAAAATATGTCACTGTTTTAGGAGTTATCCTTGTTTTCCCAACACCCAAGTATAGGGGACATGGAAGGCATAGAACCCAGAGCCGAGTCCATGTGGGTTGGAAAGTGGGCATATTGCTATTGGATCCTGGGGGCAACAGCAAAGTAGAAATGAGGGCACATATGATCCACAGATTTATCTGAGAGGACTTTCACTGAGCAGCCTTCCCACCCACCCCACCTATGCTGGGGTGCTAAGGGACTCCTCAAATTTAGATCAGTGTTGGAGGCAGGAAAAGGGATGGGATGACTGAGTTCACCTGGAAATAAATAAAAGGATGTTTTCTGCAAGCAGGTAGAATGGAGAATAAATAAAAAGGTAAGTTGAGCTAAAGAAAAATAAAGTAATATATTTATGTCACAGAGACTGTGGCTTCTAGGTTTACCTGCGTCATGGGTTTGCAGCCAAATCTCTGGGCCCCATTCCCAAGGCTCATTCAAAAGATGTGGGGGAGGTGGCAAGCTCAATTCTTTACAAGCACGTCCAGTGATTCTGATGTAGGCAACACGAAGAAAACCTTTAATAAAGGTTTTAATAAAGGGTTTCTTTTATTGTATTTTCCTCTTCTAATAGCTTAACTAACTAGATGTTGGGATAGAAGGGAGCTGGGTCATTCCCACACTGATTCATGAACTTGGTCCATCCACATCAGTCAAACCTGACCAAACTAGTAATTAATTTCAGAGACCTTGTGTGTCCCTCAACACATCTTGTAAAATACCTTCTAATCTGGAACAGAAGCATGCCCTTGGGAATGTTGAAATGGGGATTGAGGGGCTAGCCACACCACTATCACAATCAGCTATTCAAACCCTATGACCTCTGGCTGAGTTCTGTCCAGAAAGGTTTGGGGTCTTCCTGCCAAGCCCTGGGATCCTGGAGGGAAGAGAAACTATCAGAGACCTACTATGCCAGACATGTTACATGCGTTACCACACGGGCTCCGTTTTTTTAAATTACACAAATAATGTGATTGCATTCTCCTTGCAGAATATTAAAACATTGGACATAAAGCTGAGTGAGGTTCCCTTGACCACTCCCAACTCATTTGTGTTTTTGTTTTACTTTCTGGGAAGTTTAATATATCCTTTTTTGGGGGAAAATTTGTTGATAGGTGGTGGCAGGTTCTCTCAGGCCAGTTTTTTGAGAGAATATCCTCCATTCTCCATTCCTGCTGATATGTGTGTTTGGGGGCAGGGGCTAGATCTGCAGCTGTGGAGGCTCCCGTTTCTAGCCTCAAGCCACACCTCTCCTGGGTCTGGTGTCACCAAGTCCAAAGCCTCCTGAAAGTGAGTGTGCAGAGGGGTGGTGTGTGTGACTCAAGTGTGAGAGGTAGGGGAGCCCCAGGAGTCTCCACACGTTAAGCACAGTGTCTCAGCTCCCCCCTGTGCTCAGCCAGGCCCTAACCCAGGGTCTGGGGACTTCCATAATCTCTGAGCGTTGTGTCCTGACTCCCTTTGCCCTGCTTGGCCTGGCACCATCCTTCTCCCACTGCCCAACCTCCAAAGTCTTGTCAGAGTCTTGTGTCCACTGCTGTCTTCTTCTGAGTCTTTGTAGATTTATGCCTCTTTGACACCTCTCCTGTTATTTAGTTACATTTTGGAAGGGAAAGAAGACAAATCCTCATGGCCAATCTTCCACATTTAACCAGAAGTCTTAACCACAGTTTATTTAACTAGTTTTTCAAGGACCAACTTTTAGGTAGTTTCCAATTTTTTTGCTGTTACAGCAGTGGTCTTAGGAACATTACTGTAAATGCCTCCCATGATCAATCAACCCTCATGACAATCCTGTGAGGTAGGTATTGTCTTGATTTTACATTTGAGGAAACATTGAGGCTCAGAGAAATGTCTTGATGGGGGCTTTTTTTATTGGTTCATCAACCTTTTTTCACATGTGGAATGATAACTCTTTAAAGTTTTTGTATACATACATAAAGTAGTATCTTTTTAATCTGTGTAGTTCTCCCTGCTCAAGTACCATGCACAGTACCAGAAAGAAGGCAGAAAAATGAACAATGAATGACAGTGAACTATGGTCTCAGTGAGGAATGTTTTAAAAAAGAATCCAGCTTAGTGGGCAAATGGTTGCTAATGGGGACTCATAGGCACCTGTTTGAAGTGGATGGGTTTGGGTAGGACCCGTGTGCCCACTGCTCCTGTGAGGACAGCCCTGTTTGGGTTGATGAAGCCCTGATCCTTTGCTACCAGCAGGGCAGGCGCAAGCCTCAGGCCCCTGGGAGCACAGTACTGTGGGTGAGGATAGTAGGGAGCCACATGCCAGAGCCCAGTGTGGGCAGAGAAGACATAGGCAGAACAGTCTTCTGGAACTGGGAGTCTGGCAGGCCTCTTGGTCCCAGATCCTCATTCTGTAACCCCCATGCATGAGGGACTCACTGGGGTTTACAAACTCCTCTATTTGGTGTGTGGGGTGGGGTGGGGGTGAAGGTTGCCCTCCAAACAGTGTGGTTAGCAAGAAGCCACCATCTTCCTTATTTCCCTCCATAATCACATGCCCAGCTCAGAGCCTGGCAGGGAGAAGGTGCTCAATAAACACTTCTTGAATTGAGTCAATGGACTTGGCCTGACACCAGGAGACCTGGGTTCTAGCCCCACTCTCCCTATCTGTGTGACGTCTTGAAGTGGATGGGTTTTCCTTGGGCCTCACGTTCTTCATTTGTTAAATGGATGCTCTTGCTTTCTACAATGCCAGACACTGTGCTGGCATCAGGAGCTACCACACAAACAAGAAAATACATCACTAAAAGAGCATGTTTGGCAAATTATACCTCAATAAAGCTGGGGGGAAAATTGTGATCTTTGATGAACATAATGATCAAGACACTTGCCAACACAGCTAAAACAGATGTGAACCAAAGAGGAGAATCTGATGGCTCACATAATTGGAAACCGCAGACGTAGGTGCTTGCGTGAGGTCGTCAGGGATGTCTTTCTCCCTTTCTGGTTCTTCTGACTTCTGATTTAGTTTCATTTCCAGACAGGACATAAGCAGCTGCAGGCCTACTTCCTTTTAAAATGTATTCGTTTGTTTTTTTTGTATGTGGTTCAAAAGTCCAAAAGTTCAAAGGAACATATGGGGGAAGCCTCTCTCACAGCCATTCTCCCAGCCACCCAGCTTCTGCCCAACAACCAGTCCTCCCTCTTCCCTTTGCTGCCTTCCAGAAATGTTCAGTGCACAGTTGTCCACTTTTTCACACAAATGGAAGCAAAATACATTAACTGCTCTGCAACTTGCTTTTGCCACTTACCATACCTTGGAGATTGTTCCATAACAGTGGAAAAAGTTTGCTTTCTCTCTGGCCACATTAACACTGTAACATAATTTAACCAATCCACTCTTGACATTTAGGTTGTTTCCAATCTTTTGCTAACACAGTAAAAAATCCAGAGTGATCAACACATTCCCATTTCATCTATGTGCAAATATTCAGAGGGTGTGATGTTGACCAATCAATCTTGATTTTGATGGATATTGCCAAATTGCACTCTGTGGATGTGTTATCAAATTTTACTTCCACCAACAAATGGGTGAGGCCTGTTTACTTAAACCCATACCCTCTCAACTCTCTATAAAACTTTTTGATCATTACAAATGTAAGTTTAACAGGATTTGCATTTCTCTTATGGTAAATGAGTTTAGGCATCCTTTTATATATTTGACACTTCTTTCTTGTTTTTAAATTGAAGTACATATAATAATGCACAAATCTTAGTGTATGCCTGGATGCATTGTGACATGGGTGTACACTCATGTAACCATCACCTAGATAAAGATATCAAACAGCCTCCCTTTCTCGCTAATTTTTCCCCCTTCACTTACTTCACCTATCTCACCTCATTGCTATGGTATTTCTTGAGGGTCTTTGAGAATTCTTTATATTTCCTTTTCTGTGAAATGTCTGCACAACTTTTTTTGTACATTTCTCATAGGGTTGTCAGTTGTATTTTTCTTACAGATTTGTAGATTTTTATGCATCAGAATTAGCCCTTTCTCTGCAATATGAATCATAAATATTTTCCATAAATTATCATCCGTCTTTTAACTTTTGCTTAAGATTTTTTACCATGTACACGTTTTTTATTGGAATATAGTTGATATAGTCAACAATCCTTGTATAAATTTTGAATCCCCCAAAACTTAACTAATAGCCTACTGTTGACCAGAAGTCTTCCTGATAATATAAACAACACATATTTTGTGTATTATATGCTGCATTCTTAAAGCAAGCTAAAGAAACTGTTTTTTTTCAAATTATTGCATATCTCCAAAAAAATTTCAAATGTATTTACTGAAAAAAAATGTAACTGGACCTCCACAGTTCAAACCTGTTGTTAAAGTTAACTGCATATTTAAATACACATAAACAAAAAAGGAAAAATCACTAGGGATATCACAGAAATACAAAGAATTATGAAAGAATACTATGAAAAATTATATGCTAACAAACTGGATAACCTAGAAAAAACGGAAAACTTTCTAGAAAAATACAACCTTCCAAGGCTGACCCAGGAAGAAACAGAAAATCTGAATAGACCAATTACCAGCAAGGAAATTGAATTGTTAATCAAAAGATTACCTAAGAACAAAAGTCCTGGACCAGATGGTTTCACTGCTGAATTTTATCAAACATTTAGTGAGGACCTAATACCCATCCTCCTTAAAGTTTTCCAAAAAGTAAAAGAGGAGGGAATACTTCCACACTCATTCTACAAGGCCAATATCACCCTAATACCAAAACCAGGTAAAGACCCCACCGAAAAAGAAAACTACAGACCAATATCCCTGATGAATGTAGATGCAAAAATACTCAACAAAATATTAGCAAAACCGAATTCAAAACTACATCAAGAGGATCATACACAATGACCAAGTGGGATTCATCCCAGGGATGCAAGGATGGTACAACATTTAAAAATCCATCAACATCATCCACATCAACAAAAAGGACAAAAACCACATGATCATCTCCGTAGATGCTGAAAAAAGCATTTGACAAAATTCAACATCCATTCATGATAAAAACTCTCAACAAAATGGGTATAGAGGACAAGTACCTCAACATAAAGGGCATATATGATGAATCCACAGCCAGCATCATACTGAACAGCGAGAAGCTGAAAGCTTTTCCTTTAAGATCAGGAACAAGACAAGGATGCCCACCCTCCCCACTTTTATTCAACATAGTTCCGGAGGCCCTAGCCATGGCAATTAGACAACAAAAAGAAATAAAAGGCATCCAAATTTGCAAGAAAGAAGTTAAACTGTCCCTGTTTGCATATGACATGATATTGTACATAAAAAACCCTAAAGACTCCACTCCGAAACTACTAGATCTAATATCTGAATTCAGCAAAGTTGCAGGATACAAAATTAATACACTGAAATCTGTTGCTTCCTATACACTAACAATGAACTAGCATAAAGAGAAATCAGGAAAACAATTCCATTCACAATTGCACCAAAAAAAATAAAATACCTAGGAATAAACCTAACCAAAGAAGTGAAAGAGTTATACTCTGAAAACTACAAAACACTCATGAGACAAATTAAAGAAGATACCAATAAATGGAAACACATTCTGTGCTCCTGTATAGGAAGAATTAATATTGTCAAAATGGCCATCCTGCCTAAAGCAATCTACAGATTCAATACAATCCCTATCAAAATACCAACAGCATTCTTCAACGAACTAGAGCAAATAGTTCTAAAATTCATATGGAACCACAAAAGACCCCGAATAGCCAAAGCAATCCTGAGAAGGAAGAATAAAGCTGGGGGGATTATGCTCCCCAACTTCAAACTCTACTACAAAGCCACAGTGATCAAGACAATTTGGTACTGGCACAAGAACAGACCTATAGACCAATAGAACAGACTAGAGAGCCCAGATATAAGCCCAAGCATATATGGTCAATATATGATAAAGGAGCCATGGACATACAATGGGGAAATGACAGCCTCTTCAACAGCTGGTGTTGGCAAAACTGGACAGCTACATGTAAGAGAATGAAACTGGATTATTGTTTAACCCCATACTCAAAAGTAAACTCAGAATGGATCAAAGACCTGAATGTAAGTCATGAAACCATAAAACTCTTAGAAGACAACATAGGCAAAAAATGTCTTGAATATAAGCATGAGCAACTTCTTCTTGAACGCATTTCCTCAAGCAAGGGAAAAAAAAGCAAAAATGAACTCATGGGAGTACATCAACCTAAAAAGTTTCTGTATGGCAAAGAAGACCATCAACAGAACAAAAAGGCATCCTACAGTATGGGAGAATATATTTGTAAATGACATATCTGACAAGGGGTTAACATCCAAAATATATAAAGAACTTACATGCCTCAACACCCAAAAAGCAACTAACCAGATTAACAAATAGGCAGAGGATATGAAGAGACAGTTCTCCAAGGAAGAAATTCAGATGGCCAACAGACACATGAAAAGATGCTCCACATCACTAATCATCAGGGAAATGTAAATTAAAACCACAATGAGATGTCACCTCACACCAGTAAGGATGGCCGGCGTCGAAAAGACTAAGAACAACAAATGCTGGTGAGGATGTGGAGAAAGAGGAACCCTCTTACACTGCTGGTGGGAATGTAAGCTGGTTTGGCCATTGTGGAAAGCAGTATGGAGATTCTTCAAAAAACTAAAAATAGAAATACCGTTTGACCTGGAAATCCCACTCCTTGGAATTTACCCAAATAATACAACTTCTCAGATTCAAAAAGACATATGCACCCCTATGTGTATCACAGCACTTTTTACAATAGCCAAGAAATGGAAGCAATCTAAGTGTCCATCAGTAGATGAATGGATAAAGAAGATGTGGTATATAGAGACAATGGAATATTATTCAGCCATAAGAAGAAAACAAATCCTACCATTTGCAACAACATGGATGGAGCTAGAGGGTATTATGCTCAGTGAAATAAGCCAAGCAGAGAAAGAGAAATACCAAATGATTTCACTCATCTGTGGAGTATAAGAACAAAGGAAAAACTGAAGGAACAAAACAGCAGCGGAATCACAGAACCCAACAATGGACTAACAGGTACCAAAGGGAAAGGGACTGGGGAGGATGGGTGTGTAGGGAGGGATAAGGGGGGAGAAGAAGAAGGGTATTAAGATTAGCATGCATGGGGGGGAGGGAGAAAGGGGAGGGCTGTACAACACAGAGAAGACAAGTAGTGATTCTACAACATTTTGCTATGCTGATGGACAGTGACTGTAAAGGGGTTTATAGGGGGGACCTGGTTATACAGAGGATCAAAGCCTAAGTTGGCTACCCCGAAAATGAACTAAGATACGATATGAAAAAGAACTTCCAACATCAGCACTCTCTGGAAGACTCATGCCAGAAGATGATCATCAAAAAACCCCAACAAAGATCCACGCGCTGCTACAGCTGTAGATGCACTCATCCCACCGGTTCCTGGACTTGCCATGGGAATGAAGAAGGAGATATCTAAGCTGGCCTGTGCATACAGTAAAACAACAAATTTGACTGGATCTATACTGTTGGAACTCAACCAAGAATTAGGAGAAGTGCAAGTTGTAGCGCTCCAAAATCTTACAACTACAGACTATCTACTGTTAAAAGAACATATGGGATGTGAACAGTTCCCAGGAATGGGTTGTTTTAATTTGTCTGATTTCTCTCAGACTGTTCAAGTACAGTTGGACAATATCCATCATATCAT